AGCTGAGAGCAGACACATAACTGACTGAGCCACCCAGACATAACTGCCAGTTTTTTTTTGTTTTGTTTTGGTTTTTGTTTTGTTTTGTTGTTTTTTTTTTTTTTTACCTTGTGATTGATTTCTACTTTCATACCATTGGGGTAAAAGAGGCATGATATGATTTCAATCTTCTCATCAAAACTTTCTTTGTGGCCTCACATGTGATCTACCCTGAAGAATGTTTTGTTTTTTTTTTAAGATTTTATTTATTTATTTGACAGAGAGAGATCACAAGCAGGCAGAGAGGCAGGCAGAGAGAGAGGAGGAAGCAGGCTCTCTGCTAAGCAGAAAGCCCGATGTGGGGCTCGATCCCAGGACCCTGAGATCATTACCTGAGCCGAAGGCAGTGGCTTAACCCACTGAGCCACCCAGGCGCCCCTACCCTGAAGAATGTTTTATGTGCACTTGACAAGAATATGTATTCTGGTTTTGGATGGGATGTTCTGTAAATATCTGTGAAGTCTATCCAGTATAATGTATCATTCAAAGACATTCTTTCCTTATTGATTTTCTGTCTGGATGATTTATCCATTGGCGTGAATGGGGTGTTAAAGTCCCCTACTAATATTGTGTTACTGTCAATTTCTCCCTTTAGGTATGTTAATATTTGTATGTAACTATTTGCTTCTCTTACTGCTATTTAAATTTTCTCTTTCTTTTTAATCTTTGACATTTTAATTATTATGGTGCTGTCTGCCGTGTCATCTCATCTGGAACTCTCTGTGATTCCTGAATCTGGATGCCTTTTTCTTTCTTAGGCTAGGGAAGTTTTAGTTATTATTTCTTCAAATAAGTTTTCTGACCCTTTCTCCTTTCTTTTTCTGGGAACTCTATAATATGAATGTTCACTTGATATTGTTCAAGATATTCCTTAATCTCTCCTTATTTTTTAAAATTCTATTTTCTTCTTGCTTTTCAGTTTGGGTCTTTTTTATTCTTCTGTAATGTGGTAAATTATTCTGATTTTTGAATGTTAAAACAACATTGCATTTATGAAATAAAACCTTTGGTCATAATGTATTATTTTATTAATATGTCTCTAAATTCAATTTTATAATATCCAATTTAGGATTGTTTACACCTATGTTAATGAGATATATTGTAACATGACTTTCTTTTCTAGTGCTGTCCTTGTCAGGTTTGGCTACTATGTTTAAGCTGTCTTTAAAATGTTTGAGAAGTTTCCTTTACTATTTTCTAGAAAAGTTTGTGTAGAATTTGCACTAGTTCATCTTCAACGATTAGAAAAACCTACCAGTGAAGTCATTTGGGTGTGGTATTTTCTTCGATTTTTAAAGATGCTTTCAATTTATTCAAGAGATATAGGACAATTATAATGTTCTATTTCTTCTTAGATCAGTTTTAACAAGTTAAATTTTTCAAGAAATTTATCTATTTCATCAACATTGTCAAATTAATGGTATAAGGTAGTTAATAGTAATCCCTTATTTTCTTTTTAATGTTTTAAAATTCTGTATTGATGTCATCTTTTTCATTTCTAATATCAGTGGGTTCTTTCTCTCAACTGGGTCGATCTTGCTCAGGGGTTAATTTTAATCTTTGTAAAGTATCAACTTTTTCTTGATTCCTTTTTTTGTATGTTTGGTTTTTATTTCAATGATTTATTCTCTTATATGTATTAGAACCTTATTATATTTTCTTTAACTTTAATTTGCTAGAGAGGAGTCAAGACGGCACAGGAGTAGCAGGCTGAGATGACATCAGGTAGCCGGACATCAGCTAGATAGTTTATCAAAGCATTCTGAACACCTACAAATCCAACAGGAGATCAACGAGAAGAAGAGCAATTCTAGTAACAGAAAATCGACCACTTTCTGAAAGGTAGGACCTGTGGAGAACTGAATCCAAAGTGGCCCCAAAGCAACAGGGCCAGCTCCCGGCAAGAGACAGCTCCCGGCAAGGGGTGGAGCGACAGAGCACAAAATCAGAACTTTTGGAAGTCTGCTCCACTGAGGGACATTGCTCCCGAGGCTAAGAGGGGGTGGAGACATCATGGGGACAGTGTGGTCTCAGGTCCCACGGGGTCACAGAAGGATTGGGGGTGTCTGAGTGGAGTAGAGCTTGCCAGTGGGGAAGCCAGCTACAGAGATAGAGGCGAGGAGTGAGCTCTCAGCTCGGGGTTACCTTAAACTGTGATCCACAGCACAGTCAAGCCACTGCTCTCTGAACGGGGACCCCATAAGTGGCAGATCCAGGGAGACACCCTGGAAGAGCGGCAGGGATCTGCTGGGTTTGGAGACTCCAAATGAGGCTGTGTTCCAGAGACAGAAATGCTCGGTTACAGGCCAGGTGAGCTCAGAGCATGGCCGGAGACCAGGGAGATGGGAGTGATTGAGTGCTTTTCTCTGAGGGCGCACTAAGGAGTGGGGCCCCAAGCTCTCACCTCCTCCAGGCCGGAGACTGGGAAGCTGCCATTTTCATTCCCATCCTCCAGAGCTCTATGGAAAGCGTTCAGGGAACAATAACTCCCAAGACCTTACCCGAGCAGATTACTTAGCCTGGCCCCTGGCAAGGGCAGCACAATTCTGCCTCGGGCAAAGACACTTGAGAATCACTACAACAGGCCCCTCCCCCTGAAGATCAGCAAGAAATCCAGCCAAGACCAAGTTCACTTATCAAGGAGAACAGCGGAATTCCAGAGGAGGAGAAAGCAAAGCATGGAAGTCATGGCTTTCTCCCCATGATTCTTTAGTCTTACAAAGTTAATTAATTTTTTAATTTTTTTTTCTTATTCTGATTTTTAAAAATTTTATTTTTTCCTCTTTTAACATTTTTAAACTAGTTTATCTTAACAATACCTTTCATTAAAAAAAATCTTTTTGAACGTTCATTATTATAGTCATATTTTATCCTTCATTGTATCTAACTTTATTTTTTTGTATACACATAGGGTTTTTTCTTCTAAAAAATTTTGAGATACAATTTCTTCTAATAGATCAAAATATACCCTAAATCTAGCACAGGGCTTTGTTCTAGTCTCCAGCCTGAACAAACTGTCTCCACTTTCCTTTTCTTCTTGTTCCCAACCAACTTATCTTATCAACTCCATTTTAGAATTAAAAAAAAAAATTTCATCCTTATAGTCATATTTCATCCCTTCATCATGTTTACCCTTATTTCTCTCTGTGTGTGTGTGTGTATACATATATGTATGTGTGTGTGTGTGTGTATATATATATATATATATATATATATAATTTTTTTTTCTTTAAAATTTTGGGAGGTAGTTTCTTCTAAGAGACCAAAATACTCCCAAAATTAAGTGGGTGGCTCTATTCTACTCAGCAGTCTAATATATATATTTTCTTTTTCTTTTTATTAAAAAAAAATTTTTTTTAATTCCTTTTTATCCCCTTTCTTCCCCCCACGATTTGGGGTCTCTTCTGATTTAGTTGATGCACATTTTCCTGGGGTCTTTCCACCCTTTTAGTATTTTATTCTCTTCTTCATATATTCTTATCTGGATAAAATGACAAGGCAGAAAAACTCACCACAAAAAAAAAACAAAAAAAAAAAAAACAAAAAAAAAAAACAAAAAGAACAAGAGGCAGTGCCAAAGGCTAGGGACATAATCAATACAGACATTGGTAATATGTCCGATCTAGAGTTCAGAATGATGATTCTCAAGGTAGCTAGCTGGGCTCAAAAAGGGCATGGAATATTAGAGAAACGCTGTGTGGAGAAATAAAAGCCCTTTCTGGAGAAATAAAAGAACTAAAATCTAACTAAGGTGAAATCAAAAAAGCTATTAATGAGGTGCAATAAAAAATGAAGGCTCTTACTGCTAAGATAAATGAGGCAGAAGAGAAAATTAGTGATATATAAGACCAAATGACAGAGAATAAAGAAGCTGAGCAAAAGAGAGACAAACAACTACTGGACGACGAAGGGAGAATTTGAGAGATAAGTGATACCATAAGATGAAACAACATTAGAATAATTGGTATTCCAGAAGAAGAAGAAAGAGAGAGGGGGCAGAAGGTATATTGGAGCGAATTATTGTACAGAATTTCTGTAATATGGCAAAAAGAACAAGCATCAAAATCCAGGAGGTGCAGAGAACCCCCCTCAAAATAAATAAGAACAGGTCCACACCCCGTCATCTAATAGTAAAACTTACGAGTCTTAGTGACAAAGAGAAAATCCTGAAAGCAGCCCAGGACAAGAAGTCTGTAACATACAATGGCAAAAATATTAAATTGGCAGCAGACTTATCCACAGAGACCTGGCAGGCCAGAAAGAACTGGCATGATATATTCAGAGCACTAAACGAGAAAAACATGCAGCCAAGAATACTATATCCAGCTAGGCTATCACTGAAAATAGAAGGAGAGATAAAAAGCTTCCAGGACAAACAAAAACTGAAAGAATTTTCAAACACCAAACCAGCTCTACAGGAAATATTGAAAGGGGTCCTCTAAGCAAAGAGACATCCTAAAAGTAGTAGACCAGAAAGGAACAGAGACAATATACAGTAACAGTCATCTTACAGGCAATACAATGGCACTAAATTCTTATCTCTCAACTGTTACCCTGAATGTAAAAGGGCTAAATGCCCCAATCAAAAGACACAGTGTATCAGAATGGATAGAAAACCAAAACCCATCAATATGCTGTGTACCAGAAACTCATTTTAGACCCAAAGACACCTCCAGATTTAAAGTGAGGGGGTGGAAAACAATTTACCATGCTAATGGACATCAAAAGAAAGCTGGGGTTGCAATCCTTATATCAGATAAATTAGGTTTTAAGCCAAAGACTATAATAAGAGATGAGGAAGAACACTATATCATACTCAAAGGGTCTGTCCAACAAGAAGATCTAACAATTTTAAATATCTATGCCCCTAACGTGGGAGCAGCCAACTATACAAACCAATTAATAACAAAATCAAAGAAACGCATCAGCAATAATACGATAATAGCAGGGGACTTTAACACCCCCCTCACTGAAATGGACAGATCATCCAAGCAAAAGATCAACAAGGAAATAAAGGCCTTAAATAACACCCTGGACCAGATGGACATCACAGATATATTCAGAACATTCCATCCCAAAGCAACAGAATACACATTCTTCTCTAGTACACATGGAACATTCTCCAGAATAAATCACCCTGGGTCATAAATCAGATCTCAACCAGTACCAAAAAATTGGGATCATTTCCTGCATAGACCACAATGCTCTGAAGCTAGAACTCAATCACAAGAGGAAATTTGGAAAGAACCCAAATACATGGAGGCTAAAGAGCATCCTTCTAAAGAATGAATGGGTCAACCAGGAAATTAAAGAAGAATTGAAAAAATTCATGGAAACAAATAATAATGAAAACACAATGGTTCAAAATCTGTGGGACACAGCAAATGTTGTCCTGAGGGAAAATACATAGCGATACAAATCTTTCTCATGAAACAAGAAAGGTCTCAAATACACAACCTACCCTGACACCTAAAGGAGCCGGAGAAAGAACAACAAAGAAAGCCTAAACCCAGCAGGAGAAGAGAAATAATGAAGATCAGAGCAGAAATCAATGAAATAGAAACCAAACCAAACCAAACCAAACCAAAACAAACAAACAAACAAACAAAAAAAAACAAAAAACCCAACAACAACAACAACAACAACAAACAATAGAACAAATCAATGAAACTAGGAGCTTGTTCTTTGAAAGAATTAAGATTGATAACCCCCTGGCCAGACTTAACAAAAAGAAAAGAGAAAGGACCCAAATAAATAAAATCATGAATGAAAGAGGAGAGATCACAACCTACACCAAAGAAATACAAACCATTAAAAGAACATATTATGAGCAACTATATGCCAGCAAATTTGACAATCTGGAAGAAATGGATGCATTCCTAGAGACACATAAACTACCACAAATGAACCAGGAAGAAATAGAAAACCTGAACAGAACCATAACCAGTAAGGAGACTGAAGCAGTCATCAAAAATCTCCCAACAAACAAGAGCCCAGGGCCAGACAGCTTCCCAGGGGAATTCTACCAAACATTTAAAGAAGAATTAATTCCTATTCTCCTGAAACTGTTCCAAAAAATAGAAATGGAAGGAAAACTTCCAAACTCATTTTATGAGGCCAGCATTACCTTGATCCCAAAACCAGACAAAGATCCCATCAAAAAAAGAGAATTACAGGGGCGCCTGGGTGACTCAGTGGGTTAAAGCCTCTGCCTTCGGCTCAGGTCATGATCCCAGGGTCCTGGGATCGAGCCCCGCATCAGGCTCTCTGCTCCACAGGGAGCCTGCTTCCTCCCCTCTCTCTCTCTGCCTGCCTCTCTGCCTACTTGTGATATCTCTCTCTCTGTCAAATAAAAATAATAATAAAAAAAGAATTACAGACCAATATCCTTGATGAACACAGATGCAAAAATTCTCACCAAAATACTAGCAAATAGGACCCAACGGTACATTAAAGTATTGTTCACCACAACCAAGTGGGATTTATTTCAGGGCTGCAAGTTTGGTTCAACATCCGCAAATCAATCAATGTGATACAACACATTAATAAAAGAAAGAACAAGAACCACATGTTACTCTCAATAGATGCTGAAAAAGCATTTGACAAAGTACAGCATCCCATCCTGATCAAAACTCTTCAAAGTGTAGGGATAGAGGGTACATACCTCAATATCATCAAAGCCATCTATGAAAAACCCACAGCAAATATCATTCTCAATGGAGAAAAACTGAGACCTTTTCCGCTAACGTCAGGAACATGGCAGGGATGTCCATTATCACCACTGCTATTCAAGATAGTACTAGAAGTCTTAGCCTCAGCAATCAGACAACAAAAAAGAAATTAAAGGCATCCAAATCAGCAAAGAAGAAGTCAAACTATCACTCTTTGCAGATGATATGATTCTTTATGTGGAAAACCCAAAAGACTCCACTCAAAAACTGCTAGAATTTGTGCAGGAATTCAGTAAAGTGTCAGGATATAAAATCAATGCACAGAAGTCAATTTCATTTCCATACACCAACAACAAGACAGAAGAAAGAGAGATTAAGGAGTCAATTCCATTTACAATTGCACTCAACACCATAAGATACCTAGGAATAAACCTATCCAAAGAGGCAAAGAATCTGTACTCAGAAAACTATAAAGTACTTGTGAAAGACATTGAGGAAGACACAAATAAATGGAAAAATGTTCCATGATCATGGATTGGAAGAACAAATACTGTGAAAATATCTATGCTACCTAAAGCAATCTACACGTTTAATGCAATCCCTATCAAAATCCCATCAATTATTTCAAAGAAATGGAACAAATAATTCTAAAACCTACATGGAGCCAGAAAAGACCTCAAATATCCAAAGGAAGGTTGAAAAAGAAAGCCAATGTTGGCGGCATCACAATTCCAGACTTCAAGCTCTATTACAAAGCTGTCATCATCAAGACAGTATGGTACTGCCACAAAAACAGACACATAGATCAATGCAACAGCATAGAGAGCCCAGAAATAGACCCTCAACTCTATGGTCAACTAATCTTCGACAAAGCAGGAAAGAATGTCCAGTGGAAAAAAAGACAGTCTCTTCAACAAATGGTGTTGGGAAAGTTGGACAGCCACATGCAGAAAAATGAAACCAGACTATTTCCTTAGCACACACAAAAATAGACTCAAAATGGATGAAGGACCTCAATGAGAGAAAGAATCCATCAAAATCCTTGAGTAGAATACAGGCAGCAACCTCTTCGACCTCAGCTGCAGCAACTTCTTTGTTGGAACATCACCAAAGGCAAGGGAAGCAAGGGCAAAAATGAACTACTGGGACTTCATCAAGATCAATAGCTTCTGCACAGCAAAGGAAACAGTTAACAAAACCAAAAGACAACTGACAGGATGGGAGAAGATATTTGCAAACAACATATCAGATAAAGGGCTAGTATCCAAAATCTATAAAGAACTTATCAAACTCAACACCATAAGAACCAATAATCCAATCAAGAAATGGGCAGAGGACATGAACAGACATTTCTGCAAAGAAGACATCCAGATGGCCAAGAGACATGTGAAAAAGTGCTCCACATCACTTGGCATCAGGGAAATACAAATCAAAACCACAGTGAGATACCACCTCACACCACTCAGAATGGCTAAAATTAACAAGTCAGGAAATGACATATGCTGATGAGGATGTGGAGAAAGGGGAACCCTCCTACACTATTGATGGGAATGCAAACTGGTGCAACCATTCTGGCAAATAGCACGGAGGTTCCTCAAAAAGTTGAAAATAGAGCTACCCTGCAACCCAGCAATCACAGTACTGGGTATTTACTGTAAAGATACAAATGTAGTGATCTGAAGGGGCATGTGCACCCAAATGTTTATAGCAGCAATGTCCGCAATAGCCAAAGTATGGAAAGAACCTAAATGTCCATCAACAGATGAACGGATAAAGATGTGATACACACACACACACACACACACACACACACACACACACACAATGGAATACTATGCAGCCATCAAAAGAAATTAAATCCTGCCATTTGCAACAACATGGATGGAACTACAGGGTATTATGCTTAGCAAAATAAATCAATCAGAGAAAAAATTATCACATGATCCCCCTGATATGAGGAAGTTGAGAGGCAATGTGGAGGTTTTGGTGGGTAGGAAGGGAATAAATGAAACAAGATGGGATCGGGAGGGAGAAAAACCATAAGAAACTCTTAATCTCACAAAACAAACTGAGGGTTGCTGGGATAGGGGTGTAGGGAGAGGGTGGTTAGGTTATGGACACTGGGGAAGGTATATGCTATGGTGAGTGCTGTGAAGTGTGTAAAACTGGTGTTTCACAGACCTGTAAAACACCAGTTTACAGGCTAGTAATACTTTATATGTTAATTAAAAAATTTAAAAATTTAAAAAAATTTTTTAAAAAGTTTAATTTGCTATTCTATTCTTCAGATTTTTGAGATGAAAACTCAAATAATTGATTTTCAACCTCCCTTATTTTATAATGCATGCATTTAGAAGCCAAAATACCCCTTTAAGCACTGATTTGTCTTCATCACATACACACATGAATGTTGTACATATTATTATTTAGTTCAAAACATTCTCTAATTTTTAAAAAAAGATTTTATTTACTTTTTTGTTAGAGAGAGAGCAAGAGCAAGCACAGAGGCAGGGGGAGTGGCAGACAGAGGGAGAAGCTGAGCAAGAAGCCCAATGCCAGACTCAATCCCAGGACCCTGGGATAATGACCTGAGTTGAAGGCAGACACTTACATGACTGAGCCACCCAGGCATCCCTCTAATTATTTTAATATTTTCTTGGTCCATTAGGTATTTAGAAATGTGGTGCCTGTGAGTATTTGGGGACTTTCTAGTTCTCTTTCTGTTATTGCTATCTAGTTTAATTTTATTGTAGCCAGCGAACATACTGTATATGATTTCAGTCCTTAGAAACTTGTTGAGACTTGCTTTATTGTGCAGAATATTGTCTGTTTTGGTAAATGTTTCACAGGTACTTAAAAGAATGAATATTTTGCAGTTGTTGAATTTAGTTTTCTATATATGTCAACTGGGTCAGTTTGTTTTATTTATTCAAATATTTCTGTATCTTTACTGATTTTTTGGGTCTGCTTTTTCTAGTCATTACTGACAGAAGTTTGTTAAAATATTTAGCTATTCTTGTAGGTCTATTTCTTATTTTTGTTATGTTAGTATCTTTTTGTTATTAGACACATACAAATTTAGAATTGTGATATATTCCCATCAAATTGACTGTTTTATTGTTATGCAACATCTCTTCCTTTAAATTCTATTCTGTCTGGTATTGGAATAGTTATGCCACCTTTTTTTAGTTGGTGCTTACACTATATAACTTTTCTATTATTCTACGTTCAGACTTTCTGTCCATATATTTAAAATGTGGCTCTTTTAAACAATGTATAGTTTTGTATTTTTCT